CTTGATCTCCTGACCTCGTGATCCGCCCGCCTCGGCCTCCCGAAGTGCTGGGATTACAGGCTTGAACCACCACGCCCGGCCAAGAAAATCATTCTTGAAAGCCCTAACGTGTTAGACTAAATGACTTAATAGAACCCAGTTAAACTGAAAGCTAATGCATCTGAAAAGTCCTTTTAAACTTAAACAATTTCTAACACAATCAGATAAAAATTAGCTGGGTGTGGTGGTGGGTGCCTGTAATCCCAGCTTCTTGGGAGGGTGAGGCAGGGAACTGCTTGAAGCCAAGATTGCACCACTGTGCTCCAGCCTAGGTGACAGAGTGAGACTCCGTCTCAAAAAAAAAAAAAAAAATTGACATTAGGTCAGGCACAGTGGCTCATGTCTGTAATCCTAGCACTCTGGGAGGCTGAGGTGTGAGAATCAATTGAGCCCAGGAGTTCGAGACCAGTCTGGACAACACAGTGAGACCCCATCTCTACAAAAAACGTTTTAAAAAAGTAGCCAGGTATGGTAGTGCATACCTGTAGTCCCAACTACCTGGGAGGCTGAGATGAGAGGATTGTTTGAGCCCAGGAGTTTGACACTGTAGTGAGCCATGATCGTGCCACTGCACTCCAGCCTGTGTGACAAAGCGAGACACCATCTCTTTAAAAATAAAAAAGAAAATGATATTAGGCTCAGGAACTTTCTCTGGACTCATGTCAGAGAAACGAATCCAAGCACTTTGGGAGACTGAGGAAGGCAGATCACTGGAGGTTAGGAGTCCAGCCTGGCCAACATGGTCAAACCCCGTCTCTTCTAAAAATACAAAAATTAGCCAGGTGTGGTGCTGGGCGCCTGTAATCCCAGCTACTCAGGAGGCTGAGGCAGGAGAATAGCTTGAACCCAGGAGGTGGAGGTTGCAGTGAGCCGAGATTGCACCACTGTACTCCAGCCCAGCAGACGAGTGAAACCCTGTCTCAGGAAAAAAAAAAAAGAACACACAGAATAAGAACCACTTTATTATCTCCGGGACTCTCTCACACAAATGCTAGGGAAAACGGCCAATGTGGTGAAGGCGATCTGCAGCAGGTGATGTCTGCAGCTCCCCTCTCAGTTCAGCACCCCTCCCCACAACACACTGCACTGGGAGCCTCAAACATGCAGAGGTCTAAATCACAGAGTCCACTCTAAAGCTGCACTCTCTACAAGATACTTTTTTTGGGGGGGGGATGGGGGGTGGGGATGGAGACTTGCTCTGTCACCAGGCTGGAGTGCAATGGCACAGATCTCGGCTCACTGCAACCTCCGCTTCCCAGGTTCAAGTGATTCTCTTGCCTCAGCCTCCTGAGTAGCTGGGACTACAGGCATGCGCCACCATGCCCAGCTAATTTTTGTATTTTTAGTAGACACAGGGTTTCACCATGTTGGCCAGGATGGTCTCAATCTCTTGACCTCGTGATCCACCTGCCTCGGCCTCCCAAAATGTTGGGATTACTGGTGTGAGCCACCATGCCCAGCCTCTACAAGGTACTTAAGTGTCACAGAGATTACATTGTCAGCGAAAGGATCTTGACTCTAAAGGCGGAAGTTGATTCTTCATCCTGTGGATAGGAGCAGTTTGGGTGTTGGGATTTAAGGAGGGTGGAAGTTTCGTCTTCATCCTATGGATAGGAGGAGTTCGGGTGTCAGGATTCAAGGAGGGGTGCCAAAGACAAACTCCCATTCCTTCACAATTTTGCTGGGATCAGCTCCACTTTCTTGGTTTGGAGGTGAGGTGGGGAGAGAGAAGAATTCTGGGAAAGCAGACTCTGATTTTGGCCATGGGTAGAATTCCTCCAAAGAGGAACCAGTACTCACGAAGGTATGCTAGGCAGGAAATGGTTCCATAAAATGGACATTACTTACCACTCAGCATTGTGAGGATCAAATGAGATAATATTTTAGACGACTTAACATACTATGAGGCAAATATGGCCTGATAAGTGTTTATTATTATTTCACTGATATGTACTAAAAATGATGAAAATAAGCTTCCAAAGAAATTTGTTCACAGACCATTAGAAACAGTTGCACTTGTGCTGAAATCCATAAGAATTGCTCATGATACAAAAGAGTGCAATCTTTTCCCTTTTTAAAGATCCATCACTTTTTTTATTTTTTATTTTTTTTTTGAAGACGGAGTCTTGCTCTGTCACCCAGGCTGGAGTGCAGTGGTGCCATCTCAGCTCACTGAAACCTCCCAGGTTCAGGTGATTCTCCTGCCTCAGTCTCCCAAGTAACTGGGATTACAGGTGTGCACCACTATGCCCAGCTGATTTTTTGTATTTTTAGTAGAGACGCGGTTTCACCATTTTGGCCAGGCTGGTCTTGACCTCCTGACCTCAGGTGATCTGCCTGCCTCAGCCTCTCAAAGTGTTGGGATTACAGGCGTGAGCCATTGCACCCAGCAGATCCCTTTAGAAGTTACTGTGGTAACATGTAATTTCAAATCTTTCCAATGCCCAGCAACTATAATCTCCCCTCTCGCCTACCCAAGACGGAGTCTTGCTGTCACCCAGGTTGGAATGTAGTGGTGAGATCTCAGCTCACTGCAACCTCTGCCTCCTGGCTTCAAGCAATTCTCCTGCCTTAGCCTCCTGAGTAGCTGGGATTACAGGTGCCTGCCACCGCACCTGGCTTATTTTTGTATTTTTAGTAGAGACGGGGTTTCATCATGTTGGCCAGGCTGGTCTCAAACTCCTAACCTTGTGATCCGCCTGCCTCGGCCTCCCAAAGTGCTGGGATTACAGGCATGAGCCACCACGGCCAGCCACAACTATAATCTTATTACATTTTGTCAGTTAAAGCATCCCCTCAGTGTGTGTATTAGTTGAATTTAACAATATCATTTATTAAATATGGCCTTCCTGGCCAGGTGTGGGGGCTCACACCTGTAATCCCAGCACTTTGGGAGGCTGAGGGAGGTGGATCACGAGGTCAGGAGATCAAGACCATCCTTGCTAACACAGTGAAACCCTGTCTTTACTAAAAATACAAAAAAATTAGCCGGGCGTGGTGGCGGGCCCCTATAATCCCAGCTACTCTGGAGGCTGAGGCAGGAGAATGGTGTGAACCCAGGAGGCGGAGCTTGCAGTGAGCCGAGATCACACCACTGTACTCGAGCCTGGGCGACAGAGTGAGACTCCCTCTCAAAAAAAAAAAAAAAAAATGGCTTTCCTGTCTTATGATGTGACATCTTACCAGAGGTGTGCATCTCCTTTATCTGTTTTCCTCTCACTCTCAGTTTATAAGGGCTTAGGATTCCTACTTTTTGATTTTTGTCAAAAGTCTGTCAGAGTAAGAGAGTCCTGAAAAAAAAAGAATAAGGGAACCTGGGTAGAAGGAAAAATCTCCTCCATGGCCAGCAGCCACATTTTAATGTTAAATAAGAAAGCAATTTAAGCCAGGCGTGGTGGCTCACACCTGTAATCCCAGCATTCTGGGAGGCTGAGGTGGGTAGATCACTTGAGGTCAGGAGTTCGACACCAGCCTGGCCAACATGGTGAAACCCCGTCTCTACTAAAAATACAAAATTTAGCTGGCTGTGGTGGTGGGTGCCTGTAATCCCAGCTGCTTAGAAGGCTGAGGCAGAAGAATTGCTTGAACCTGGGAGACGGAGGTGCCAGTGAGCCAAGATCACACCACTGCACTCCAGCCTGGGCAACAGAGAGAGACTCCATCTCGAAAAAAAGCAATTTAAAAAACTTAATCAGAAACAGCATCAGTCTAGCACCTAAATTACGTATCCTACTGAAGAGATAAGTGTTTAAAAGACTCAAGCTCATGCAGTCAGGTGTGCGGAGGTAACAGGGTAAAAGAAGCAGAAGAAACCAGTTTACAAAAAAACCAAAGCACAGCTTCAAATAAGACACAGCTCTGCCCTGGAAACTCTTCTGGCACAGCCACCTCATTCGATATGGTAGGCACTGTCACAAAACAAAAGACATCAGCAGAGGAGACACAAGTCTGTTTCAGGGCAGTACCACATATATAAAAGGTTTTGGGGAAGATCCATGCTATGAACCAAGCACATGGCAGGTATCCAGAATTCTCAGTTCCATATAGATTTATCAGACCATTATCCATGGGCTTCCTGACACCGAGCTTCCAGTCATCAGGAACTAGAAGGCAATGGGCATACCACATTTGGTTCCTGTACATAAGACAATTTGAGGTGGGGTGGGGAATGGGAACACCCTCCTTACTCAGAATTGTATTTTCCAGTGTGTACACAAGAATAAAAATCTTCTTAGTGCTGTTAACAATCTCAGAATTCTAAAGCTTTGCTTCTAAAAGCAAATAATATAAAAATTGCTTTTCTCAATGGATAGGTATCTCCTTGTTTTAATTATATAACATTTTCTTCAATTTTCGGCATTTGCTCCTTGTTTATTTTTATTATTTTTTTTCTTTTTTTCCTGCAAACACTATGGCAACTTGAGCATTTGCTACTTCTTGGTTGCAGCATCCAGGAGCAGCTGACAAAATGAATGAGTGAAAAACAACTTTTCCCTGTGCTTAGTTTACTTAAGCTTCTTTGTTTTGTTTGATGGTCTTGATGGTATGATTTTGGATTGCTTAATATATAATAATTTGTGCTAGAAAAAACTAACATATACATGTATTGTTTTCATTAAAAAATTAATTGAAGAGAAAGAGAAAAGCAATATTTTAATGCCCCAGGAACTGAAACTAACCTTTTCTGTCTCCACTGGACCCCTACATCCCTCTTCTGATTTGCTGGTATCATTTGCCATGTATTGGTCAATACATGTCTGCTGGGTGAGCAATAAAATTCTGGGGGCAAGCCAGTTTTGAGAAGTTTATAATCTGACTGGGGGAGACATATCTTGAAATTTTGGAAAGATACTTTACTTTTAACTATCTTAAAAGCAAACAAAAGAAACATCAATTGACCATGATTCTGCACGTTTCTCACCTCAGTATCACTACGGTAAAACAAGCTAATCATGAACACTGCCATTTCACTACAAACTTAAATGCTCTCCTTTTATTAACGTTGAGTATGAACACGAAACATGATCACCTGTTTAAAAGAAAAACACCGCTTTGTTCTTTGACAATTTCAAAATAAGGAACTTTGGCTTTTTATTCCTTTTAAGAGTTTCTGTAGTTGACTTTTTTTCTTGCTATACAATTCTCCTTGGATCTGTATTACCTCAGCTCCTCAGATCCAGCAAGGGTAGAGAGTCCTCATTTAAAAAACATTTCCTAATTGTACACATTAAAAGCTAATATTTAAGAAAAACCCTCTTAATCCTCCAACCCCTGTTCCTATTGTGAGTAATCTGGTTTAATACAAGTTAAGTCTATAAATAAATTTGTTCTTTCTCCTCAAAAAAACAGTTAAGAAACTTTACAAGAATTACAGGTTTAAAAAATTTACCGAGAGAAATGAAAGTATTGTCACTTAACCATTATTAACATACGGTGTTCAAGCCTTCCAGTATCAGCGCCTATAGCACAGCATCGCCGCTAGCTGTTTCACTAGCATGCTGACGAGGAGGCTTCTCAGTCACTCTTTTCTTCTCCTTGATAGTGTCTGTACTCTGGCTTCAGCTCCCATGTGTTTTTGTGGATCCCTTTTACATTCTGAACACCAATTTCTTTTAAGATTTCCTTCAGGTACACCTAAAACAAAAACAAAACCCCTAACAAATGAGATTATAAAGGCAGGGAACAAAACTTAAAATAAGGTGATATGCCGAAACACATAGGCAAGTCATAAAAAGTATGATCCTAAAAGCTCAGCAAGATTTCTCTATAAGGAGGTTCAATAAACTGCCTTTTGATTCTACATGTGCGATGATAACTGCACTAAACGCACTAAAAAACTGCACTAAATATACGATCATGTGCATTAAAGGGGTTGAAAGTCCTGAATGCCAACAACTTAAAAGCTAAAATAAACAACAACGACAACAAAAAACCCCACAAAAAACACTAGATGAAATACACGAAAAAATTACTGGTCCTCACTCAATGTGACACAGTACACCAAGTGTAATCTGCCCTTGAGTTCAATGGACTCAGTTCACAGACTGAAACCAGTAGTTTCAGGAGCAGTAACATATATAAAAAATGAGTAACATTTTTGAGAATATTCTATCAAGAAAGCATATGACAGGTATCCAGAATTCTCAGTTCTCAGATGAGTTCTCAAATTTGTTATTAGGCCACCCACTTATTTTTTCCTATGCAAGAAGGAGAACTGTTATTTGTATTTACTTCTATTTGTACTTTATCCAAGCTTGCCAACACAGATAAGGGAATAAGAAGTGATAATAAGGCTGGGCTTGGTGGCTCACGCCTGTAATCCCAACACTTTGGGAGGCCGAGGTGGGCGGATCACCTAAAGTCAGGAGTTCGGGACCAGCCTGGCCACCATGGTGAAATCTCGTCTCTACTAAAAATACAAAAATTAGCCAGGCATGGTGGTAGGGACCTGTAATCCCAGCTACTAGAGAGGCTGAGGCAGGAGAATCGCTTGAACCCAGAAATTGCAGTGAGCCGAGATTGTGCCATTGCACTCCAGCCTGGGCAATAAGAACGAAACTCTGTCTAAAAAAAAAAAGTGATAAGACATCCCCCAAAACTATCAGGGATGCAGCTTTGTGTTTGGCTTCTCCAAAGAAAACAGTCTGTAGTATGGTGTTTTAGGTCCCTAAAAATTCAATAAACATTTACTAAGCGATTACTATGGTCATGGAAATGATGGCTATTTAAGTGTAATACGAAACTCCACCTTTGCTTGCCAATGCTGAAGGCCAAAAAGCATTCCACAATAAGCTGACCAATATAAATTACAAAATTTCCTTCTCAGAGAAGAAAGATAATAATAATAATTACTATTATTTTGAGACGGAGTTTTGCTCTTATTGCCCAGGCTGGAGTGCAGTGGCATGATCTCGGCTCAATGCAATCTTTTGCCTCCTGGGTTCAAGCGATTCTCCTGCCTCAGCCACCTGAGTAGCTGAGATTACAGGTGCACGCCACCATACCCAGCTAATTTTTTGTATTTTTAGTAGAGATGGGGTTTCACCATGTTGGCCAGGCTGGTCTCAAACTCCTGTCCTCAGGTGATCCACCCACTTCGCCCTCCCAAAGTGCTGGGATTACAGGCCTGAGCCACCGCGCCCAGCCAAGATAATTATTTAAAAACGACTCTTTTGTTGTTGTTGCAGAACAAAACAATCCAACAATAATTTGTGTGCGTGTGCTTCAAAGAACCAGTTACGGTATGATGATGACTCATCCCATTGATGGAAGACGTAGTTTTTCTTACTGGTTGAAATGAGACATTAATAAGAAAAATGGCTGAGAAGTTCTTGTCCGTATATTTAAGGAAGTTCTTGTCCGTATATTTAAGGTAGCGCTCTTCTCTAGCATGGTGCTAGACTACCTGCATCAGAACCTAAATAAGACTGAGCTTGGGCCTACTGAGTCAAAGTCTCTTGGGTTAGGCCCAGGAATCTGCATTTTAACAAGTGCCTAGGTGTGTATATACTAAAGTTCATGTGTATATACTAAACTCATGTGTATATACTAAAGTTCCACCACATCTGGCTTAAGGTTCTTCCAGTTCTGATACTCTAAGATCTTTGAGTCTTTAGTGTGTTGCTTCGTTCTCTGAGTCTCATCATTGCTGGAGATTACGTGCTACCAACATAATCTAATGCCACTTTACACTGACTGATACAATGCTCTAGAGTTCATAAAGTCCTTTCAGTTACGGGTAGGTTGTCACCTAGAAACATAATAGCTGATTAGTACTGGAACTACACAGAGGTTCCTCCAGGATGGCTTACAGCTCTCTCGGACAGCCTTTCCATTCCAGCAGCCAAGCCCCAGCAGGTGGCAGCAATGAACCAAATGAGCCCTGGGTTCCCCCAGGCTTGCTTGCCTCCCACACCTTCTACAGTTGGCTTCACTAGCAGACCTGTGTCAATGAGTAAGCATAAAGGCTTGAGATATCCAGGTAATAGAAAATGCAAGTCTGCCACCTGCTATTTCAAATTACATTAAAAAAAACAGGGTGCTGTTCATAAACTACTTTCTAATTGAACAGGATTTATAAATGGAAAATGATTGGTTAGGCACAAATGATTCTCTGTTTAGGTGCCAAGAATGACATCTTTGTAAAATTCCAAAGAATGGTTTATTATGAGACTGGCTAAGACGATGTTGCACAAACAACCATACAATTGTGGATGCATTGCAATGGGTCAAAAATGAAAAGAACAATTGCCAGGAGCATTTTAGCAGCTCCATAGAAAAGAAGCTCTCCTGACTTCAAGACTTGTGTGCCGATTTATAATCTAGGCCCAGAAAATGAAAAGCCTACAAAGGGTTAAGTCTTAAGTGTACAGATTCAGTTGCTTTCATGTCCACCCTCATTTTGGCAATCTAGCAGAATATATGAAATTCTTTTTATATACGAAGGTGTCATTCTTTTTTCTTTTTAACAATAAGAGTGGAATAAGATGATCATGGTCTGTTGTCAATTTCTCAAGCAACAAAATGCAATCAGGGTCACAATGTACTGTGATAAGGGGGTAGGAGACATAAACTTCCTGATTTTTAGGATGTTCTAAACTGCAACCTAAGACCATTTTACTCTAATCAAATAAATTAGCTTGGCAGGGAAGTAGGTACAAAACATTAGCAGAGAAAGTAATAGTGACAATAGGGAAAAACAAGGTCTCTAAAGGGAAGACATGGACAGAGAAGAGAGCGAGCACATGTCCTTCCTCTGTCTAAAATATTCCAATGACTTCCCGCTTTGGGGCTACACATTAAATTCCAAACGCCTTTGAGGCATCCACTCAGGTCTGCCTTCTCCCTTTAGCCTCATCTTCCAACACTCCCCGTTACACATACTTCCCATTTCTGTATCTGCATGCTTCCGGGTTTTTCCCACGTTGTTTCCCTTTCTTGTTATGTTTATCTCCTTTCCTCAAATCTGAACCCCTCATTCTTCAAGACTAGGCCCAAACGTTACTTTCTCAGAGAAACTTTCTCTAACAGCCTTACCTTAGATTTACATTTCACACTGCACAATCTTCGATGGTAGCTCTTATTATATTATAATCCTTTATTTATATGCCTTGCTCTCCTCTTAAATCACACGCTCCTTTTTTTTGGGGGGGGGGGGTAGGGGATGGGGACGGAGTTTCACTCTTGTTGCCCAGGCTGGAGTGCGATGGTGCGATCTTGGCTCACCGCAACCTCCGCCTACTGGGTTTAAGCAATTCTCCTGCCTCAGCCTCCCGAGTAGCTGGGATTACAGGCATGTGCCACCACACCTGGCTAATTTTGAGTTTTTAGTAGAGATGGGGTTTCTCCATGTTGGCCAGGCTGGTCTTGAACTCCTGACCTCGTGATCCACTCTCCTCGGCCTCCCAAAGTGCTAGGATTACAGGCATGAGCCACCACGTCTGGCCACATGCTCCTGTTATAGTGCCTGCGTGCACATCACAGAGACTCAGTGTAGTTATGCAAAGTGAATAGGGTGTGCTTAAGACTGACAAAGCAGCTAAGAGGATTGCTGGGTGGTGGTGGGGTATATCACTAAGAAGGTCCATAAAAATAGACCATTCAAATTCTAGTTCATTTTTAGAACTCAAGCCGTGATCTAGTTTGAGAAACAAAAGTTTACTGACTAAACTGTACTACGTGAATTTGAATGTAATTTATTACTAAAATCTGCATTTTAGTGCTAAAATATTGTTGGTGACAAAGCCAACTGAAGAAGAGGTTTTAAAGGTTCTACCAGGATTGAAAATTACTTGGTAATCTTATTTCTCTTTTTAACATTCATATATTCACTCAAATATTTATTCCAGCATCTACAATGTGCCAAATAGAATGGTAGACACTCAGCCTCCTTCTCAGAGTTCACAGTTTAAGTTTAGCATAGAGGATGCGGGTAAAGAAAAAGGCACATTAGGCCGGGCGTGGTGGCTCACGCCTGTAATCCCAGCACTTTGGGAGGCTAAGGCGGGTGGATGACCTGAGGTCAGGAATTCAAGACCAGCCGGCCAACATGGAGAAATCTTGTCTCTACTAAAAATACAAAAATTAGCTGGGTGTGGTAGCAGGCACCTGTAGTCCCAGCTATTCAGGAGGCTGAGGCAGGAGAATCATTTAAACCTGGGAGGTGGAGGTTGCAGTGAGCTGAGATCACACCACTGTACTCCAGCATGGGCAACACAGCAAGGTTCCATCTCAAAAGAAAAAAAAAAAGAAAAAGAAAAGAAAAAGGCATATTGGCAGGTAATTAGAAAATACAATAGAGGCACGTGTACAGGGTATTGTGAGACCACTGAGAAGGAGCACCTAACACAGCCCGCACAGAGATGCTACGTTCTTTGACGATAGATATTTGCGCATAGAAATGTTACTTTCTTTGAGGATAGATATTTGATTATCTGACTTGAATAGCAATTCTGTGTAGAGATCTACAGAAAGGAGTTCTCCTCCTCCTACTTATTCTAAACATTGAGTGACTTTCCAATTAAATCTTCTGTCTAACCACCTGTATTTGAAACAAAGGATTCTAGAAGTGAGTAGATCGCCTTTATGTCACATAGGATTGGGGATATGTCTCATTACAGACTATGTGCTGAGCT